ATGGTCACTCCCAGGGCCACAGTCACCACCAGGGCCACGGTCACCACCAGGGCCATGGTCAACTCTGGGGCCATGGTCATCACCAGGGTCATGCCACCATCAGAGCCATGGTCAACCCTGGGGCCATGGTCAACCCTGGGGCTGTGGTCACTCCCAGGGCCATGGTCAACCCTGGGGCCGTGGTCACCCCCAGGGCCATGGTCACCCCCAGGGCCACCCCCAGTGCTCCTCTGCCCCTCACAGGTGGGACATGACCCAGCAGAGACCTTCACCTTCCACTGGTGGGACCACGTCTTCAACAAGGCAGCGGCCAACGTCACCGTGGAGCCTGGGCAGGTGGGACAGGGCTGGGGGCAACTGGGGAGCACTGGTGGGACAAGGATGGGGTTGGGGTCCCCTTGGTCTTTGAAGATCCTTCACCTTCCACTGGTGGGACCACGTCTTCAACAAGGCAGCGGCCAACGTCACCGTGGAGCCTGGGCAGGTGGGACAGGGCTGGGGGCAACTGGGGAGCACTGGTGGGACAAGGATGGGGTTGGGGTCCCCTTGGTCTTTGAAGATCCTTCACCATCCACTGGTGGGACCAGTTCTTCACCAGGCAGTGGCCAACTGGGCAGGTGGGATGGTGCTGGGGGGCAACAGGAGCACTCTGAGGTCCTCATCCTTCCCAGCAAGGGTGGTTAGAGCCTGGAAGGAGCTGCCCAAGCAGGTGGTGGAGTCACCACCACTGGAGGTGTCTCAGGACAGACTGGACATGGCTCTTAGTGCCATGCTCTGGTTTGACATGGTGGTGTTGGTTCATGGGTTGGACTTGAGGATCTCAGAGCTCTTCCCCCTTCCCACAGAGGGTGGTTAGACCCTGGAATGGATTGCCCAGGAGGTGGTGGAGTCACCAGCCCTGGAGGTGTTTCAGGAAACACGTGGTGCCGTGGCCTGGTGACCGAGGTGGTGTGAGGTCCCAGCTTGGCCTGATGTTCTCCAATCTCTTTTCCAACCTCCCTGACCCTGTTTTTCTATGATCCCCACACCCTTGGCCCTGTCTCCTCCAGGATGGCATCTCTGTGAAGGTCCTTTCTGAGCAGGGAGGGAGGAACATCAGCACCAAGAGGCCACTCAAGGTTGGCAGCACTGGTGACCTCCTCTACGGTCGCTTCGTCAAGGTAACCGAGCCCGACACGTGGCTCAGCTGGTGATCAGCCTGTGGTGATCTCCACACCTCCACCACTGCTTGTGGCCTCCAGGACCTCCTTCCCTTGTCCCTTTTTGTCCCCCCCCCGCAGTCAGCCACGCTCACGGCCCACGGGGAGGAGTCCTTGATGCTCCACAATGAGGAGGAGGAGGAAGAACTGGACCTTTCTTCCTGCAGGAGGTGAGCTGAGACCCATCCCCACCACGAGGAGGGACCTCCAGCCCAGCCCTGGGTGAGATGTCCTCTGTGTGTCCCTCAGGCTGACGGATGAGGAGCTGGTGGAGGCGTGTGGAGGTCGCACAGCTCACAAGTGAGTTCTTGAGGGGCTGCAGAGTTGGGGTATCTTCTCCTGGTTGGGTTTGGGGGCCACGTGCCCTGCCAGGAGGTGCCACACTCATTGCTTGTGGTGGTTTGCAGAGGAGCTCGTCACGGCCTGACCATGAGTGCCAAGTTGGCACGTCTGGAGGAGCAGGAAAGAGCTTTCCTGGCCAAGTATCAGCACAAGGAGAGGCAGCAAGAGGTCCTGGAGAGCAGCCAGGGCAAGGAGAAGAGGAAAAGGAATCAATCCAAGGGTGGAGAGGACCTTGAGGTGCTGCAGAGTCAGGAGTCAAGTGGACAGGAGGTGTCAGGAGGGGAAGAGAAGGTGGTGAAGAGGAAGAAGAAGAAGAAGAAGAAGAAGAAGAATCAGGAGCCAAATGGAGAACTGATGGGAGAGGAAGAGAAGGTTGTGAAGAGGAGGAAGAATCAGGAGCCAAATGAAGAGGAGCTGATGGGAGAGGAAGAGAAGGTCATGAAGAAGAAGAAGAAGAAGAAGCCAAGTGGAGAAGAGGAGGTATCAGGAGAGGAAGAGAAGGTTGTGAAGAGGAAGAAGAAGCAGGAGCCAAGCCCAGAAGAGGAGGTGACAGGAGAGGAGGGGAAGGTCACCAAGAGGAGGAAAAAGAACCCAGAGCCAAGCCCAGGAGAGGAGGGGAAGGCTGCAAAGAAGAGGAAGAAGAAGAAGCAGCAGGAGGAGGACAAAGAGCTGCCAGAGCTACCTCCAGAAGACTCAGCTGGGTGTGACCTGAGCCCCAGGAAGAAGAGGAGGAGGAGGAGGAGGAGGAGGAAGGACCCAGAGTAAGCAGGGGCAGTGGTGGCTGAAGAACTAAGAGGAAGAGAAGGTTGTGAAGAGGAGGAAGAATCAGGAGCCAAATGAAGAGGAGCTGATGGGAGAGGAAGAGAAGGTCATGAAGAAGAAGAAGAAGAAGAAGCCAAGTGGAGAAGAGGAGGTATCAGGAGAGGAAGAGAAGGTTGTGAAGAGGGGAAGAATCAGGAGCCAAATGAAGAGGAGCTGATGGGAGAGGAAGAGAAGGTCATGAAGAAGAAGAAGAAGAAGAAGCCAAGTGGAGAAGAGGAGGTATCAGGAGAGGAAGAGAAGGTTGTGAAGAGG